AGGTCTATCACCTAACCAAGTGATCCTGGCTGGGGACAGCGCTGGAGGAGGCCTCGCCATGTCAGCTTTGCTTCGTCTACGTGACTCCAGCGCCAATCTACTGCCACTTGCGGCTATTGTATCAGGTCCATTCGTTGATCTGAGTGGAAGTGTCGACCCAGCAAGCGGTCAAAACTGCATTCTCACTCGCAGTACCGCTGAAGCCGCTCGTGTTGTGTACCATCCGACGTGTTCGGACCAATCGACATGGGCTGATGCTTCACCGGTGCATTGCCATCTCAGTGGACTCCCACCAGTATTCATCCAAGCTGCTACGCTGGATTATCTTTATCAAGACTCCGTACGCCTTAAAGAGAAAGCGAAAGCTGATGGCGTCCAAGACTGGGAAATGGATGTAAACGAAGAAGTACCTCACGTGTTCTCGTTGTTTCCTTCGTGGATATTACCTTATAGTAAAGTGGGCATTCGTAAGATGGCTGCATTTGCAGCCGAGCAATTCCAAAGAACTGAGTAACGTCGTTAATAAAAAGCTTGTATTAAAAAAAAATGTATTTCAATTTTAAGGAGCGCCCAGCATTAAACGATATGTTCAAGCTGCTGATGGTGCAAGCGAGTGAGTTACAGCATTATCCGTTTTCAGCATTCCGTTGTGTTTCCCATGCATTGTGGGGCTTTTTAAAAATTGTTTCGCTGCAAATGTAGCCATTCGTTGGATCCCAACTCGGGCATAAGGTAGCACGAAAGTGGGGAAAAGCATGAAGACGTGAGTAACTTCGTCGTGTATATCGATTTCCCAGTTGGTGACTCCATCAGCTTTCGCTTTCGCAGCCAGTCGAACCGCGTGATCGAACAGGTAATCGAAGCTGGCTGCTTGAAGAAAAATCGGTGGAAGTGCTTGAAGATCGCAATGTACTGGTGAGGCATCTGCCCATTGATGAGGGCTTTTGCCCCTTGGACGGTACGTCTCAATGCTAGCGGCCATAAGATTTGAAGAGAGCACACAATTCGGGGCCTTACTCTTGTCGTCATCGCCTGTGAGATCTACAAGCGGACACGCTACAATAGCAGCGAGTGGCAATGGGAGCTTTGGTTTCCAACTCGATTTCCCATCTCGAACTCGCAACAGCGTGGACATGACAAGACCACCACCGGCACTGTCGCCTATCAACATGATCTGAGACGAATTCAACTTCTCTTGTTGAAGCAAATACTCGTACATGGTGACAGCATCTTCGACGGGTACTGGGAACGGATGCTCTGGGATCTTGCGATAATTTGCAATAAACAAGTCGATTGTGATGTTTTCGTTACTGGCCTGCGGGCTGAGCTCACGCATGGTGGCTTTCAGGAGCTCGCAGCAGAATGGAATGTACATACGTGGACTGAGCACAGCGTAGCCACCACCGTGGTAAAATAAAAGCACAAGCCGCTTTGAATTGTTGATTCTGTTGGATGATTTCAGCCAAAGGTGTTCTAGGCCGTTGTAATGCACAGACTCGAGTTGTATACCATGACGACGAAGAGGAAACCAGCCCATGAACGACCCAAAAAGCTCGCTATGCCAGCGGAAGACTGGGGCCTGGATCGGGTCGACGATACGATCACCGAACAAGGTAGCCGCGTCGTGCATAATACCTCGTACAAGCTCGAAGCGAAGCGTCCACTTTGGAAACTTTGGCTTGAAACCTCGAGCTGCATATTGTATCAGCGTACTCCAAAGCGTCCTGACTATTTGAGCCAGGAATCGCGCGGTCTCACTTGAAGTGCGGCAAAGGGAGCGTGTTGACTCCAGGAGAAAAAGCACAACTGCTATTCCACTTACTCCAGCAGCCATCCACACCGAGTATTCGCGACGCTGCTCTTGGCTTGATACAAGACACAACAGGAGTACAAGCACCAGTAGTTGCATTAACCGATGCTCACACTTTTGAAGTTCAGTAGTCGATGTCGAAGTCTTCATCCTTGGTCAGAAAGTTGTGTGCGCCCTTCGGGACTTTTTGAGTTGTGAACTAGTGGATCGCCCATGGTGTGAGGTAGATGAACGCACATTAGTCGCTTGAGTTGAAGTCGATCGGATGGATCCAGTAAAATTAAACCGTTTGTGAACAATCAAAAGATTGTTTACTACCCGTTCATTTAGGAGTTACGTAAATATAATATGAAGTTGACTGTAGGCTTTTTGATCGTAGATGAAACCACAGTACTACGTCATAGCTTCTGTACTACACTACTGATTCCGAATGTGTGGGATGCAAAAGGAGAGCTACGTGCACAACACAAAAAACATGCAGAAAACCTTTTCTGCTCAACGTGTACTAACATATTAAAACATCTTCCCACTTAACTTCTAATGCTGATAATTTTTTTTTAAATGTATTCTACCGGTACAACTTTCCACCAACAGTTTAGCATTGGCAAAGCATCGAACATTGCTCTCACAGTTCGAAGAATCATTAGGTAGCTGAAGGGAAAACGAGACTATAGAGTTGGGCTGGTACACCTCCAGATTGTACTTAGTGGTTCAAAATCTACGGTAATAAGCGTAGGCCTTGAACAAACCAAATCTTTGGACTAGCAACATTATGGTTTGGCCGTTAGCCATCAGTTTTTATGAACCTATATGATTGGCTTTTGTGGTTCGGTTGTGAAACCCATCCTGAATTCAAACCAGCACTCAGGTTTGGAGTTTTAGGTTTGGAGTTACGCTCTCAGCTTTTAACTATGATATCACCTATTGGTTACATATTGTTCGTGTCATTTCGTGGAAGGTCGCGTCTTTTCCTAAACGATCAGCTTGCCACACTTTGTTCACTCTGGATTTTCACTGCTCAGCAACACTTCCGCTGAACCTTAGCGCTGACTTGTAGGCAGCACACTATAAGATTCGCTTGGGCCAATAATCGCCTGTCGTTTGAATCACCGCTGCAACAATTCAGCGCCTACTTCGCCTACACCGCTCCCAAGAAGGGAGGCAACGCCCTCGGGATGAAGGCGCTGAGGTGGGTGCTAATGATAATTGTCAGAACCAAGGTCTTCAAGCACAGAGACTGGAGCCGGACTCATCTACAACAATTGCGGAGTCTACAATTGCTGAGATGGCTCAACAATCTCCAATGCCCGACCTTCGACCACCAGTTTCAACTGGTATTATTTCTAATTCAACTTCATCTGTACCTGTACCGATTCATGTTACACAAGCAATCCGAGACTATGTACCAGCTGATGGATTTACGGTACTGCCAAAACGCCGTGGAGAACGATCGATAATTCTTGACTGGGGGGTACGCGTTACTTCCACGCTTGAAGGCAAGAAATACGTGTGCTGGATATGTCAAGGTAGTCTCGAATGCCGTCGCGAAAACAAAATAATTCAGCTGTTTGGTAATACGTCTAAAGCTACCAAGCACCTTGGCGAAAAA